GGGGGCCACCAAGTGGCAAATATAATGCATGGATTTTTTTTTTTCTTTTACTAATTAGCTTGAAGGAGGTGATTAGATCATCATCTTTTAAGTTCCTTTATTTGGAAGCAAGGGCTAAGAAAGGTTTCCATTTTCAAATCCATGCTGGAAACCTAAACTTTTCCATTATTTGTCATAATTTGCTTTACTGAAAGTTGAGTGTCCTTATTGCTACTTTCTTTCATTGTAGGATGTTTCATTCAGGTCGAATGTGGAGTTGCCATTGGAAATGGAAGCCAAGTCCTCTTCTAGTCTTATTTACTTTATATATTACAAGTGTTCCTCACTCAGGTAAGACTCTTCCTCTTTCAAACTCCAAATTTAATTGTGATTCCATTGTCTGCAGTGTAAGTATGCTACTTACTTAAGTAACCTGACCTTCATTTGTTGCCATTTTTTATTGTTTCTGTCCCTATAGGGTTTTTTTTTTTCCCTATCATCTCTCTATCCTCCCTGAATTCTGCAGGAGTGCTCTTACTTTGATCATTGTTTTATTTTCTAGTGAGTTTATTTCTTTAATGTTTGCTGTCTTTCTTTTAGTTCTATTTATTTATTTAGCCCATATTGAGTGATGAGATAACTACATAAATGCTCTTAAAAAGTGCTAGCTGTTTCCTACACTATTGAATAAATATACAGCACTTACTTCTCCTTTCAAGTTTTCATATAGTTATTTATGGAAAGTACAAACTCTGCTATTTTCATTCATCCTGATTTTATTGTCATGTTGCAATATGAAATAGGAATTGGAAATTAAGTTTGTGAATTATGTAGTTAATTTAGTTTACCTGATATAAAAATTAGTTGTAATTATAGTATTTTTGGAATTAAAGTATCCATTTTTTGTAATTATGTTTTTTTCTGAACTTTGAAATAAGACCCTTTTGGCTGTTGAAAACAAAATTTTCTAGAAACAGTTAATTATGTGAACAAGCCAATCAGAGGCTGGGGAATATAAATGATATTTAAAAGTAAACCATTTCTTCATTATCTGCTTTTGTCACTGAACAAACTCATTTCTTTTAAATCCATTCTGTTTTACTCTTTGTTTTCTCCTGGTGCATATTTTCTTTTAGAGTAAGACTAAAATGTCAAGAAAATCATTATTCTTGAAGTCTTATGTATTTATTACTTGGAATTT